CCCCAACCTGAGCCTGGCCTGGGAGCTTACAGTCAGGCAGGCAAGGTGTTGATAAACATGACAGAACAGGGTGAGGCCTGGGGAAATCCTCAGATAAGTGCTCTGGGAATTTAGAAGAGGCAGGGACCACTTTTGGTGGCAGGAAGCAGAGCAAGCTTTATGGAAGAGGTGGATGATGGTCATTCATGCATTATTTAGCAAACATTTCTGAAGGTCGGCAGAGTGCCAGGAAATTAGGTAAAAGGAAACAAAAATGAATAAGTTAAGGTCCCTGCCTGCTCATGGCCAAATGACATTTTAGCAGATACAAATATGGCATGCTTTAAATAGAGCATAATAGGAATAATTGGTTGTGTGGAGTTGTCTGGGAAGCTTTCACAGCTGAGATCTAGGCTAGTTCTTGAAGAAAAGAACAAGAGTTTGGCAGACAAAGAAAGGAACCACTGAATCTGCCTAGTTACAGAAGTGGGAAATGACACAAGGTCAATGTTGGCAAAAGGAGCAGTTCATGATGGGAAGGAGAGTGGGACTTGAGAGGTAGGATAGATGGACAGGAAGGGTGTTGTTGGCAAGGGGAACAGCATTAGCAGGACATAGAGACCAGAAATCATGGTATCTGCATGCACAATACTAAGTAACTTAGTCTAACTGCAGCATAAGGGGGTGGGATGAAAGTTGTGATGGAAAAAAAAAAAAGTTGTGATGGTTAATTTTATATGTCAACTTGACTGGGCTGTGCGGTGCTGAGATATTTGGTCAAACATTATTTTGGATGTGTCTGTGAGGGTTTCTGGATGATATTAACATTTGAATAAAGCAGACTGCACTCCCTGATGTGGTGGGCCTCATCCAACCAGTTGAAGGTCTGAACAAAAAGGCTAACCCTCCCTTGAGTAAGAAAGAAGTAAGTCCTGGCTTTGAACTCAAACTGAAATGTTGACTTTTCTTGGGTCTTGAGTGGCTGGCTTTTTTACTGCAGTAGAAACATTGGCTCTTCTGGTTCTCAGGCCATCAGACTTGGATGGGAACTGTACCAGTTCCTGCATCTCTATCTTGCCAACTCATCTTGCAGATCTTGGGACTTACCAGACTCTGTAATCATGTGAATTAATTACTTATAATAAATCTCTTTAGGTAGATAGAGATCTAATTGGAAATATCGATAAATATAAATATATTAATAAATAGAGGTAGATCTATCCATCTATCTATCGAATCTCCTATTGGTTCTGTTCCTCTGGAGAACTAATACAGAAGGGAAGGGGAAATAACTTTGGAAAGGCAAGCTGGTGCCTGATCATCAGGGACAGAGAATACCTGGCTAAACGACTTAGAATTTTATTTTGAATACAGAGGAGAAAGCACTGGGATTTTCTGAACTGGGCAGTGTTTTAATAAGAACTGACATCTGGGAAGATGAAATCTCTGCTGTATAAAAATTCAAACACAGCTGCTTTTTAAAATTTTTTAGCTGCACCACATGGCATGTGGGATCTTAGTTTCCTGACCAGGGATCGATCCAGCACCCTTTGCAGTGGAAGCACAGAATCTTAACCACTGAACCATCAGGGAAGTCCTAAAAGAGAGATTCTTAAAGGAAACCTCTAGAAGTTGGGTATTAATTTGTGGGCATAGGCTCTATGCTGCAAAAAATTTGGGAACCCTGGGTGTATGAAGGTTCAGGGATCCAAAGCAGATCTAGGCACTGCAGAACCTGAACCACGTGGGAACTGGAAGATGATTTCTGTGGTGCTGATGAGATTTATGAGTAGCTGAAAATTTGGAAAAGGGGGTGAGTAGGGGTTAGAGAGGGTAGAGATTTGGGAATCATCTATGTAGAGGGTGGTGGCAAGTACCGCAAGGGGCAGACACTGGGGGCAGGAGTGGTGGAGTGATGATGCATCAAGAGCCTTGAACTTACAAGTAACAGAAAACTACTCCACCTGACCCAGGCAGTAGAGGGAATTTATTGGCTAATGTGATTGCAAATTGAAGCAAGACTGGATCCAAGGGCTCAATCATGCTGCTGAGACTTGGTTTCACTGTCCTCTCTCTCCGCTGTGTTCTCCGCTCTGTCTTGGTCTCATTCTCAGGCTGTCGCTCTCCTGACTGTGGGAATGTGGCTGCCAGCAGCACCGTGATTATATGCTGCTCTCAGAAGGGGGGTTCATTCAACTGGACAGTTCTGACCAAAGGCCCAGAGTCGGAGCTCATGGTTCTCGTTGTGTCACGTGCTCACTGCTGGGATGCTGTGGCCAGAGAGTCCTCTAAAATATTCTGATAGGCCAGGCATGGGTCACGTGTCTAGCCCTGCAACTTGGGGGAGACTCATCTCCTCTTGAGCCACAGGGGTTGAGAACTGGGGGAAGAGCTGCCCAGGGGAAATGAAAATGCTGTTACCAGAGGAAGAAGGAATGGACACTGGGCTGGTAATCATAGGGGAAGGAGAACTGGAAACCCACAGGCTGGCCCTCCTGCAAAAGTGAAGCAGCTGCCGCCAGCGGGGCAGTGGGGAGGGGCCCCCAGGAGGTGGAGGTCTGGGCTGACAGCCAGGGAAGGGCTAGGCTGGGTCAGAGAGTAACACTGCTGCCTTTGGGGCTCTGTAAAGGTTGGGGAAGGTTCTGACAAACCCCAACAATGGAACAGACAAAGTGCTAAGTGAGTCCTTGTCCTCGGGATAAACGCAGGAAAAACCAAGTGGGCTGGGTGACACCCCATCAGGATATTGTTGCTGATGGAAGGGGCAGACATGGTCTGGGGACATTGATGGGAATTGTGAGATGGAATGGAGGAAAGGTCACTGCCAACTGGTTTTGCGGAGGGAGAAAACAACCAGTAACCCTTCCAGTTTAAGAAACTAAGCTCGTGCATTTTTCCAACAGTCAAAAATTTACAGTACCAAAAATAACCTAAATTCCAACAGTAGGAGATTGATTGGATAAATATAGAAATGCCTGAATAATGAAATGCAGCCTTTAAAAATGATGCGTGGGGACTTCCGTGGTTGTTTAGACTTCACCTCGGCCTTCCAGTGCAGGGGGTGTGGATTTGATCCCTGGTTGGGGAGTTAAGATCCTACATGCCTTGAGGCAAAAACAAAACAAAACAAAACATAAAACAGAAGCAATATGGTAACAAACTCAATAAAGACTTTAAAAACAGTCCACATTAAAAAAAAACACTTTATATTTTTTAGTATACCATGCTTTACTTGACATGGAAAGATGTTCACAATGTAGTATTGAGAGAGAAATGCAGAGTACAATCTGTTTTTGTGCAATAAATGTGTATACATATATCTATGAATATCTGGAAAGGTGTACACCAAATGTTAAAAGTTGGTATCACTAGGGGTAGGACTAACAGCTAAAGCTTATCTTCTGATTTCATTTTAATAAACTTGCTAGGTAGTATGTAGGTAACTACCTACATACCACCTACTACCAACATACTACCTACAACTACCTACATACTACTAGGTAGTACGTAGGTCAGTGGCCTCTTGGGTTTGAGTCCTAGCTCTGCCATTGCCTGGCTTGGTGAGCTTGGGTAAGTCCCTTAACACATCTGAGCCTCCGTTGATGCATCAATGTGGGGGTAAACTTTGTGCGGTGGCAGTATCCTAGCCCATGAAGTTTATCCCAGACGTGATTATGGCTAATTGAAAAAAAAAAAAGTGGGGGTAGTGGTTCTTAACTTCTAGGGTGGTTGTAAATTTTACATTAGCTACTATTACATGCAAACCTGTTAGCACCAACCTATAGTAAACACTCAAAAATGTATTTTTCTTGTGTAATTAAAAAGTCCAAAAGAAACTCTTAACTATTAAATATATTGGAAACAAATGTTTTTCCTGGCCAAGTTTAACTGTGGTGGTCATTAACAAAGGAGCTAATACTAAGATAAGCTATTTTCCTGTTAACACTGGGAAACATCTGAATAAGACAGGAAAGGTTCCTACTCTCCTGAAGTTTATACCCTAGCCGGGAAGACAGATGATAAACAGATTCTGTGAGGATAGCAAGATCAGGAAGTCGGTGACATTGAAAGGCTGAGAACCAGCGGAACAGCTCAAGAGGAGGCAGTGAGAGCGGGTGTCTTGTGGTGGGGAGGAAGTCTCTAAACCAAGAGATGTGGTTGGAGCGAGGGACAGAAGGGTCTAAACATACATGAGAACTGACCTCAGCTCTTAAGCCAGTTCAGTTCAGTCGCTCAGTAGTGTCCGACTTTTTGCGACCGCATGGACTGCAGCACGCCAGGCCTCCCTGTCCCTCACCAACTCCCAGAGTTTACTCAAACTCATGTCCATTGAGTTGGTGATGCCATCCAACCATCTCATCCTCTGTTGTCCCCTTCTCCCGCCTTGAATCTTTCCCAGCACTATGGTCTTCTCCAATGAGTCAGTTTTTCGCATCAGGTGGCCAAAGTATTGGAGTTTCAGCTTCAGCATCAGTCCTTCCAAAGAATATTCAGGACTGATTTCCTTTAGGATGGACTGGTTGGATCTCCTTGCAGTCCGAGGGACTCTCAAGAGTCTTCTCCAACACCACAGTTCAAAAGCATCAATTCTTCGGCCTTCAGCTTAAGCCAAGGCGAACTGAATACAGGCCAGGGCGAGTCAGGAGGCCGTCCCACTTGTAGCCTGGTCTCGGACAAGTCACTGCCCATTTGAGTAGCCACTGTCTTCTCTGCAAAATAGTGATGCTAACACTTTGTAAAGATGCAAGGATCAAAAGACATGTGAGGGGCAGCGCTTTGCAAGCGATCGTTTGTAGCATAAATTACAAATCCAGGAGAAGAACTGAAGAAAGAAATCCAGAGAGCAGCCGCCAACTAGCGACCGCGGAGGTTGGCGCGTGCGCGTTAGGCGGCCCGAGCCAGGGGCCTGGGGGGAGAGGGGGAGGAGTTCAGGCCCCTCCCGGAACCGCTCGGCCTCTTTTCGCCTCCCGGCCTCTCCCATTTCCGCGGATAACCCAACCGTGCGTCGCCTGCGTGCTGACGTCAGGCGCGTGCCCCTGTCCGGCAGCCGAGGAGACCCCGCGCAGTGCTGCCAACGCCCCGGCGGAGGAGCTGAGGTGAGTGTGGGGCCCGAGGTTGCCCCGCGGGAGCGGCTTCCCCCTCACACCGTCCCCGTCCCCCCGCCGCGCCGCCCCTGGCGTCTCCCCGTCCGCGGGGACCTTCCGCTCTGGGACCCTCGGGGGGCGGGCGCGGGGCGCCGCGGGGGGAGGGGTGCCGGGTTCGCGCGGCGCGGGGCCGGGTTCTGTCAGGGGGACTGAGGGGAGGGGGTCGCGGAGGCCCAGGCGGCGGCGGCGGGGGGCGCGGGTCCGCCCCGGAGCGCGCGGCCAGGGCGTGAGGTGCCGGGGCGAGGGCGCGGCCGGGCTGTCACCGGTCAGCGGCGGAAGGAAAGGGTCACACCCATCCCGGCCGCCCGGCTGTCCTCCCCCGCGGCCCCGCGGACGCCCACTCCCCCATTCTCCGGGGCGGACGGCCGGGCCGTGGCAGCGAGGGCCGCAGACCCTCTCTCAGGCGCCCGCGGGCTGGCGGGACCGGGGCTGCCCGGCTGGCCCCCAGCGCGCGCCCCGGCTTCGACTTCCTGCTTCGCCGCGGACATTTTGCGGCCGGCGTGGGGGGGGAGGGGAGCGGATCGTGAGCGCGGTCGGGGAAGCTGGCGGCCCGGGGTGGCTCGGCCCCGCCGCGCGCCTCCTCCTCTCTGCGGCGCGGCCGCCCGACGCCTCGTCCCGCGCCAGGATTCGCCGCTTCTCCCGTCTCCTTGATTCCTGCTTTAGGTCGAGTTCCTCCCAATACCATTTCCGTTTGGCTTCTCCCAACTCTTCTCCCTCCCCGCCTTTTCAGCTGAAGCTTCCCTTGCTGAGAGTTAACCTAACCACCTCCCGAAACTGTCGTTCTGCCTTTTGCCTGATTCCTCTCTTTAGGGAGAAATTTTTCTTTGTTCGTTTGCTTCCTACCCCCACCCCCCTTTTCCCTTTAAGTCCTAGAGAAATGCAGTGGGGAAGATTACGTCATTGCAATATAAGGGGTGAGAGTTTTTAACTCCTGCTAGTCAGGGGCTCGCTAAATTAAGATAGCATTTGGTAGCCTCTATTGGGTCCACCCAGTGGCATATCCTGCCTGTTTCCCAACTCCTGGTATTCAGAGATGATCTTTTGAAATCCTGGCCGTCTCATATGCGTCTGAAAGCCAGGGAGGTTTAAGATCTCAAGATGATCTTAATGCCGGGGGAATAAAACGTAAGACAACACTTTGCTTTAGCCATTTGGCGTGGGCAGTAACTTTAAAGATCCCTGTGACTGTACTGGAATGAAGTTAATTTATTTGTGGAAGCCTTTCTTTGTTCCAAAATAACATTCCCAGATTATTTAACTTTAGTAAGTGTGTCTTGTTGATTTAGAGTACGTACCTAAGTCTACTCAGGTGCACTTTTGTGGCAAAGGTGTGGTGAAAAGAGAATCAGTTCATTTTACACCTGTTCTTTGCTTGCTGGTCTCTTTAGTTTTGTAATTAAAATGAGTTTTGGATTTTTAACAACAACAAAAAAAACCCTTAAGTGAATAACATTTTCAGACTTTGGAGATCACAATATTCTTTCTGCAGAATGTTAGGCACATCTTGAATTGTGTATGCTTCACTGACTACAGGGTACTGTAGCCCAGAAAAATATTAGCATTGTAAAGCAAATGAGATCCAATTGTGTAATGCATTGTTATAAGGATAGTTCATGTTGGAACAAGTACTTTCTTATTGTTTCTCGTTTCTGTAGAGAGAAGAGATTGCTTGTTAAACACTTAATAGAAGTGGTCGATTTAAAGCAGCTTTTGGTAGTTTGTAGGTGTTGGTAGATGATTATATAGGTGTGGAGCTTGGAGCTTCTGAAATATATTTGTTTGCCATAATGTATCTCTTTTTAAGAATAGAAAATTGAAGTACTTATCTACTATAGTTCTCAATTCTTCTGTACTTAAGAGCTTTAAATACACATATATCAATTATCTTCTTCCCTTTTAAAAGTATGGCAGAATAGTTTGGATTTACAGCTTTTATACTGAGGCAGGGAGATTGGTAATTGAGTATTAAAAACGAGCTCTTTCCCAGTAATTTTTTCAAGACCCCAAAGGTATCATAATCTCTTAAAATGTTTGTATATAATAGTCAACACCTGTACTCAGTTGAACTTAATTTTTTGGGCACCCAAGGCAGGTATTACAGCCTAGGGTGGTGGTGATTCAGTTTCTAAGTCGTGTCGGACTCTTTGTAACCCCATGACCAGGCTCCCCTGTCCTCCACTGTCTCCTAAGGTAGGCAGGGGCTGAAATCAAACATCAGTGAGATTCTTTTAAAGCCCACCAAACCCACATCTTGACTTTCTTGTAACTTCAAGATTTTTTTTATTCGGATACATTTTCCACTTTTAATTTTATGGTTTATTAGAGAAGCATTTCTAGTTACTTTAAAAATGGTTCACTAACAAAATGTTTTGATTCAGGATGTGTTGCACTTGGAAAACTTCCAAGTACAGTTTACTGTGCCTGTCTGGGATTGGTATTTATAGCCATTCTTGGAAGTAAAAGTCAAATTGTACTTTTTATTTTAAATGCATTTATTGTTTTAGGGTCTATTTTTGAGAGGACAAGGAATGCTTAATGAGGAACACTTAAGGCCACAGAGCTTCCTCTGCTGGGGGAGGGGGGTTAATATTTTGTTAACTTCTGTCCCATAAATAGACCTATATATTTCCTATTAAAGATTGCATTCTAGGTTTTCAATATTCGGTAGTCTCTTCCAAGTCTATTAATCTCACCCACTAGAATGTAAGTCTATGAAGGCAGGACTTTTGACCTGGTATGGTCAGCCTGATCCCTAACACTTAGAGTAGTACCAAACCATGATGTATCTCAAGAAATGTTTGTCAAATGAATGAGTGTGATGTCTGAGGGTTAGCATTTTGCCTTTCTACGTATTCTGCAGGCCTGTGTGCTTTGTTTCCTGAGACAACTTCTGTGCTTGGTCACCCATATCCATATTTGGGCTCATTGATGATTACTAATCTCCTTTTGCTTGACCATATCCATATGTTTACTCCTATATTTTCTGCATGTGTACTATCTGAATAATTAACAGTTGCTTAGAAAATATTTTCTGATGACCGGTTTTTATTCTCCTAAACATTATTCAGACTTTAATGTGTTTCCTTCCCCAATTTCTTTTTTGAAATAGCTTAATTATGCGACCTCTTTTCCTCAATTTAATGGTATAAAATTCTTGGTCATGTTATGTTTTGTCCCTTACGTTTCTACTTTTAGTTACTCATCCCTTTAGTCCAAAATATTTTTGCTACAGCAAATCAATTTTCATTACTTGTTTTGGCCTTTGCTCCTGTTATAAGTCCTGGTGTCAAAACTCTTCTTTACTAGTTGCCCGTGGGACATTGGTCTCAAATTGCTCATTCCATGAAGTGAAACCCCAGTTTTGCTACCAAAATGGTGTCCTGTTAAAGAAAGTTGGAAACATTTTTTTCTTAAAATATTTAGCTATTATGCTGAAATCCAGAACAGTTTCTAATTGAGCAGACATCTACATATTAAGTTATGGTGTTTGCCAAGTGTCAGTGGTCAGTCACCTGAAAACCTCTGTTGTTCACTCTGTTCTTTAACACTTTACACTTGCATCATTTTCTGTAAGAGTAAGTCATTTTGATTTGCTATTGCTGTGTTTTGAGAGAGACACTGCGAGTATAGTGATTTAAGAGTGTAGACTCTGGAATCAGACTGCTTAGATTCAAATCCTGGCTTTGGCATTTATTAGCTCCATGCAGCCTGAGTAACATCTTTGTGACTGTATTAACCTTCCATAGGAAAGGACTTAGCAATAGTCTGTACCTCACGGTGGTGGTGGTTGGTCGCTAAGTCATGTCCGACTCTTGCAACCCTGTGGTAGGCTCCTCTGTCCATGGGATTTCCTAGGCAAAAAATACTGGAGTGGGTTGCTATTTCCTTCTCCAGGGAATCTTCCCAGTTCAGGACCCAGGAATTGAGCCCGTGTCCTGGGCACTGCTGGTGGGTTCTTCGCTGCTGAGCCTTTAGGGAAGCCGCACAGTGTTGTAGGAGTGTTCTAAAGGAAGTACTTAAAGCAGTTACCTGGGGCGCAGCAAGTGCTTTGTAGGTGTTTGCTCTTGCTATTATTACAGTCTTGCTTAATGCCCCCAGTTTTGAGAAGTTATATGCATTTCTCTCAAACATCAATAGTTTAATAACCATCCCTCCCCCAGCTTAATCTCATGAAACCGTAAAAATTAAATGAAGTGGGAATTGGTGTCTGCTTTAAGCTTGTATTCATTATCTTAAGTAGTGTCATAGAGCTAAGGGTGTAAGTTTTCAAGTGTGCAGTGTGTGGTCCTGTGGACTAACAGTATAAGCCTCACCTTGGAGCTTCTTAGATATCTCAGGCTCCATTCCAGTCCAACTGAATCAGAATCTGCATTTTAATGCAATCTCCAAGTGATTTTCAGGCACATTGAAGTTTGAAGCACCCTTTGAGTTATAGTTTCCTGCCTATTGTGTAGAATCACCTCATGTCTGTGCTCATCATCAGGAACTAATGTGTTTAGTTTCCAAAGAGTCATTACCCACTTAGTAATAACTAATCTTAAATTCTAGTTTTAGAACTGCTTGAACTTGAGTTCAGTTACGCGTTTGAACTCAGTGACTTTTTATGGAAAACTAATTACTGTTATGAAGAGCATATGATTAGGATCATTCACGTAATTGTTGGTTATGAAAACAGGTTAAATACAAAGTTGGCATTTAGCTGATCAAATGTAAAAAATGTTTTCTGCTTTTTTGGTACTAAAATAAACCATATCTCCAGTCTCAAGGGAAAATGTTAATAACTAAAACCTAGTCTTACTTAGCTACCATCCTGAAAAAATTATTGCTATTTTTAAAGGACTTGATTAAATTTTCTGATTTTTCTTAATACTGATTGATGTAGAAGAGATTCACCAGTAATATCCCTGTGCAGTGTGTTCTCCAGAGCAGTGTTGCATGACATTTTTCAAATC